ACTTAAGGTTACAGAACACCTTTGAGTGTTAATTTTGCCTAAAATTTTTTTATTGGTTTCAATGAAAGCATTAGACCAGTTCTACTATCTGACCAAGTTTGAACGAAAAATGTTGAAAACTCGCAGAGTTATTTAATAAAATACATTACGCTGCAATAAGAAAAACATTGAAAATGTAATATTCAAATTCAATTTTCTCACGAAAAATTTTACGGTAATTACTGATTTTCAAATGAGTTGTGCTCCTGCGGGTTTTAACCAATTTTTCTCAAATTTTCACAGGTCATAGCTAAATACGTCAGTTTCAAAATTGTGTTCGGCTTTTTTTTTAATTTTGGATATTTTAAAAATAAAGAGCAATTCACTCAAACAATTCAGAAATATATTGCAGTCGTCAAAGAAATCGCCATATCAGCGGAATGACGAAATAAACAAAAATTTCCGAACACAGTTTTTTAGAACTATTTTACTGTATAAAAATGATATTTTCATAAATATAACTTAAAACCAGCAGGAGCACAACTCAAAAGCGTAACGGTACCGTGATTTAAGATTTTCCTGAATAATGCTTACAGTATTTTATTGTTTGTTAATTTTACAACTTTACCATATTTTGCATGCACTGGAGAACATTTGGTGAAAATTTGATGAAAATCGGACTGATATTGAGCGCGCAGTAGCGATTTTCCGCAAAACGCCAAAAAGGGTGTCCTGTAACTTTAATAGAAGTCATTGAGTTTTTGTTTGAGTTGATGTTAAAGGTGCCCTACAGTCCGATCTGCGCATGTGCACCAAGGAGCCCACTTTTCATGATACAAACAGTTTAACTATGTTTTGGGTTCTTGCAAAGCCTGATTGTTGTTTCTTGATCATTTATTATACTCTAGAAGCTTGAAAATATAAATAGTTGTCGAACAAAGCTCAATATTTTGGACACAAATATGTAAACAAAGGCTTTGTTTACATACGGACTGTAGGGCACCTTTAAGTTATGTGTTATGTATAATGAAGTAATCGTCCAATAGGGATATAGCTGAGATGAAACGTGCAACCACGATGAATAATATTTAATGAAGTTGAGACAAAGGATTTGTGCATGGTGAGGTATAGTTCAACATCAAACAAAGGTCTTCTATTTTGTGGCTTTGAAGGTTGCTGGGTTTTCAGACCATCATATCTTGACAGACCACTGCAGAGTATGTGTATATATGGATCATCTGTTGAGACGATTCAATCATACATGCAAATTCATCTATTAAGTACACTGACTCATGCACTGTAGATGAACTATCTATGTAGTTCGTACACATGACGGATGTTTCATCTGTTTGTCCCACATAAACGCAGGGTCTGCAAAATATTGGAAATTAATATATTTGCCTAGCTTGTGTTGTTTTGCTGTAGACGAACGGATAAAGCGATAGAACAATTGCGATATTTCTTAAGAAACGTGGAAGATAAATCAGAACAGGATCTAAGAAAGGTATCATAGAATTTTATACTCATTTGCAAACATGTTTTGTAATAAATCATAGGGTAGGAACTTGAGTGTCGGTCACTCCGTTGTCCCTAGAGCCCCATACCTATAACACCATACTTATAACACCATACGTATAACACCATACCTATAACACCATACCTATAACACCATACGTATAACACCATACCTATAACACCATACCTATAACACCATACCTATAACACCATACCTATAACACCATACCTATAACACCATACCTATAACACCATACCTATAACACCATACCTATAACACCATACCTATAACACCATACGTATAACACCATACCTATAACACCATACCTATAACACCATACCTATAACACCATACCTATAACACCATACCTATAACACCATACCTATAACACCATACCTATAACACCATACCTATAACACCATACCTATAACACCATACCTATAACACCATACCTATAACACCATACCTATAACACCACACCTATAACACCACACCTATAACACCATACCTATAACACCATACCTATAACACCATACCTATAACACCATACCTATAACACCATACCTATAACACGATGCACAAAAATATATTTCTACAGTCATGTTTTCAACTAATTATGAAAGCTATGGTTCATCATACACACAAATGAACATAATTTTAAACTGTGTAAAATATTTTAGGCATTAATTCAGCAATTGATTGATATATTAATGAACGGTGTGAGTGAGAGAAGTTACATGATGCAACTGACGAGTCCTGCCTCGCCATCCAAAACATCTTTTACCGGCTCCAGTTTCCAATCCAATACTCAGTTCTCGGATAAAGGGTATGTAGTCAATATAAGTATTTGTATATATACTTTTGTATATATTTGTATATATACAAATTTGGAGTACAAATTCGACATTGCACGCCAAATTTGGATTACTTATTTTATGATACACACTGCAGTACTGTACTCAGCTTTAATCTGAATAGTACTATCTAACTGTTGTACAGGGTGTCCCAAAAATTGGTTAATTACTATAACGTTTAGTAATTAATGAACAACAGATGGGACAGCTTTTGGGACACCCTGTATAACCAGTTGGTCACAGAGTTTTTGTTGACGAAGGTTGAATGTACACCGAACTGACCATATGGCGCTTATTCATGTAGCAGATCTTTTGACTAATTATATAGTAACATTTTTTTACCCTCTAGTTTATGTTTCGTTCCTCGCAACGTAACAGAAGACGTGATTTTATTGTTGTTGCTTAAAGAAGCCTTGGTAAGATAAACCTTCAATTAAAATTGTATCTCATAGTGCTATACCACCACCGAACAGTGTTTTTTCATTCATTCTAAAATTGACCTCCGACTAATGTGTAACCAAGGGCGGTTGTTCAAAGGTGGGTTACCACTAACCCTGGATTAAAATTTAACATGCTGTTTTAGTTTGTGTATTTGTGTATTCCTGCTCATGTTATATCAAGCGGGACAGACGTGTCTAGAATCGCTCCTCAGCTAACTGTATATTTCATGTTAAATATGAGCGATAATCCAACAGTGTCGATGATTAATAAAATGAAAGTGCAAGAGCTTCAAGCTGAACTAACAAAAAGGCACCTTGATACGAAAGGTATAAAACAAGTCTTGGTCAATCGACTTCTGTCGAGTTTGGAAATTGTAGAGCCTGAAGCGGCGAACGACAGCAACGACGATG